TTGTCTGAACTAGATGATAGGTGCTTTCAGATTGGGGACTATAAAATACCACTTCATGACTCCCATCAGGCGTGCTATAAATTACATCCATAGCAAATACATACTTGGGGGATTAACTGAAACACTGGACACTGAGGTTGTTTAACTTGAACTTAAAGCACAGACCTCAACAGGTAATGAAAACATCAAATTTATAGCAGGTTTTACATAATAGTTTAGGATCACAAAAGTAGACTCAACAAAGAAATGACAGCCTGGATGAGGTAGAAAAAAAAAAAACTAGGAAACTTGTGGCCTCTAGGTACACTAACTAGTTTTTTCCAGAAAGGTTAGAAAGCTCTCTTGTGAAAAAATATTCTTGAGTAACTGAGGGGCACAACTCTCTGACTGGAAAGTAGTTGGGGTGGGTGTCTGTGTCTTGTCACCTTCTTTTCTGATGTTCCTACTCCTATTCTTTATTTTTCTGACTACTTCTTTTAGGAAAGAGAATACTGGATATCTGTTCCTTCTTCACAATCAAAACAGAAGCAAACCCAAGTTATATTCCAAATATTTGCATAGATTATACTTGACTAATGATGATACCACATTGTAAATTGAAAATACATTAAGACAAAGATGCACTTAATACACCTAATCTGCCAAACAGATTAGGTAGCTTAGCTTACCTTAAATGTGCCTTGAACACTTATTTTGGCCTATAGTTGGGCAAATCATATAACACAAAGCCCCTTTTATAATAAAGTATTTATTGAATGCTCTGCTGAAAGAAAATGAGTGGGTTGTATGGTTGTTTACCCCTGTGATCACGTGGCTGATTGGGAGCTGCGGCTCCCAGCATCTTAAGTAAATGTCTTACTGCATATTGTGAGCCCCAGAAAAGAACCAAATCCAAAATGCAAAGTGTACTTTCTACTGAATGACTATTGCTTCTGAACCATTGTAAAGTCATAAAGTTGTATGTTGGGGAACCACTGTAACTCAGGACCGTCTGTATTTCCCCCACAGCAGTTCTTTGTCCTGCTCCTCCGGTGCTCTTTCCTGCTCCCTATTGTCAGCAGGCTCTCAAGTATCTGTACCTTGTATTCCCACTCAGTAACAGTACATTGATATTTGCCCCCAGCTTGCAGATCAGGTCACCAAATTTGAGTGCAATAAGGGTGGCCCAAGGTTACACAATAAACCTGGCCCTACGGGGTCACCCTGTGTTTCCAGCCTGTTGATTGGACCCTGGGTGCCTGCAGGACACAAAGGAAGCTGCTCCCACAGCATTCTGTGTGGACTCTTGCTGAGCTCACATGCATCACGGGGTCGCTTGGTATAAGGCCAAGCATTTTCCCTCTCCAGATCATAGCACTTTGAATACAGGAAAGAGAAGATGTGCCTCAGAGAAGCCCTGACTCTGTGCCAACCAGGAGAGTGGGCGCTGGTTACCTATGTGTGGCTCCAGCAGCAAAGCCAGAGCTGGGGGCGAACATTTAGTTGGGATGAATTTAGATCATGGAGGTGCTCTTGCTGGTGTGTGGGGAGGCCACTTAGTGACTCTACTTTGGAGGAGTTTGGTGTTCTTTTGTTATAAAGAAGAAGTTGGGTGCCACGAACAAGAGTAGTTCACCTTTCCTGATCGTCCCCTCATCACATCAGTGCTGTCGTGGGGGTTGGCTATGATTGGTGTGAATGGTGGTTAAATGATTCAAGCTGCTGAGGGTGGAGAAGTCTTGTTTTAGTGTTTCACGCTGTACTGACCCTAAATAATTAGTGTGGGTTGTTGACTTTGTGACAGGTTCTTTGTCATTTTTTCAGTAACTTACTTTGACTCTGAGGTCATTTGGGGAGTGTGGAAGAAATATAGGAAAATCATGTAAATACATGGTGGGGGTGGGTGAGGGAAAGAGATTGTAGTGGCTGTGTTAGCCATAGCAACACACCAACTGATGAGTATAGCCCGTTCACTGGACATACTGGGGCCTCTGTGCATCAAGTGCACTTGTGGGTGCTGAGGAGTTAGGCTGTGTGGGCTGGTTGTTTAGCTCAGACTTGTAAACAGCTGGGAACAGGTGCAGAGCAACCTGGCACTGGAACCTACTGAGCACAGCTGCTCAATGGGAAGCTAGTTGCTTGTGCTTCTAAAGGTTACTCTCCTCTTTGTTTCCTGGAATAGAAACTACAGATTAATTTCAACTGAGAATTTTCTTAGAATTCTTAAATATTCATGCTGTCTTAAAATCCACCATTAAAAATTCTCTGACAAAAATTTGAAGACTACAATTCCTTCAGTCTATTGTGGAGGAGGCAGAAGGGGATTTCCACATGCAGAAGTGGGCCCCTATCTCAGTGAGCAGTGCTGAGACTGAGAGGAAGTGCCCTCCCACTTCCACCCCATGAAAGTGATTTTACAAAGTTTAGGCAGATGCCGCTACTAGGAACCGATGTTTTCTGTGTCATTCTCACCATACCAGCCAAAGCAAGGGGGCAGTTACTGATTTTCATCTATGCTTTAGAGCAGTATTTCTCACCTTTTTTATTGTAAGGCACATTAAAAATGAATTTTGCATTACAACGCTGAGGGCATATATACATAAAACTCCAAGTGTCATAAAATGATAGTTACTCTTACTGTTTTCATTCCCTAGTCTGTTCTTTTTTTGTTTGAAATGGTGGTGGTGACTTCCTAGTGGTACTAGCAGTTTTAAAATATATGCCCTAGAGGATAAGATGTTGCCTGTGCTGTTTATCTCTGGACAAAGTCTGTGTGGGTTGACTCTGATCTCCTGTCCTCCTTGGACTTTTCACATGCCTGGCATTTTCAGTTATCGCCCTAATGGGGAGTAATCTTGGGGGATGGGAAATACAGCTGGATGCAAATGGTGAGGTCGTGAAGGCAGTCCCATAGCCCAGGTTAGGGTGTTCTTAGTGTGTGCAGTTTGTTTCCTATCAGGGGCAAAGGGCTGGGGACTTGAGGATGAGGTCTTTGGGCACAAGAGCAGGGCCGTTTCCCCGGGAAATGTGATGTGAACCCGTAGCTGGCCTGGACTGTTAGAAGCTACCATTGTCCCTTCCCTGTCAGTCTGTTGAAAGCCCAAGAAACTGAACTGTCAACCCTGACGGGATAGCCTACTTCTCCAGGCAGAAGGTGTCTTTGTTGTAGTAAGCACTAGAGATAGAATCCTTGAAGATGGGAGGTGCTATCTCCTAGTGGTGGAAGAAAAGAGATGTGTGACTGACTGGACATCCTGACCCTGCTTCTTCCTGAGTGGCCAGGCATTTGAGTGGAAGGGGCTCAACCCCTAACATTGTTCTTGGCATCTACTAAGTGTCAGGCACTGACCTGGGTGCTGAGGGTATCTACAACATCAAGGAGTTGCCTTGCCATCAGGGAGTTCACAGTGTAATTGGGAGAGGCAGTTAAATAAGTCAGTACAGGAAGAGGGGTATAAGAAGGTGCTATGGTAATGCTGATAAACATCTTGGGTATGGGCTGGCCCCAAATCAAGCCTCCCAGAAAAGGATGCCTTGGAGAAGTTAGTGAGGATTAGACTTCTTAGCAAGAGGAGTAGGGCTTGCCAGGCTCCAGGACTGCCAGTGCAAAGGCTGGCAGGTATGAAACAGCAAGTGTGGCTGAGCTTTCAGCCAGTAATTTGGGATTATCAACAAGTGGAGAGCTTCTGAGGGTGTTACAGAGCTGAATTAGTCTCATGATTAGATCTGAACTTTAGAAAGTCACTCTGGGTAGAGAATGGGTTGTCCAAGGATCATTTAGTCTGCTACACCGGTCTGGGTGGGAAGTGACGATGACATGAAGGGGTGAAGAGAGATTTAAAAGAAGCAATTCATAGGATTAAATGACTGGATGTGGAATGGAGGAAAAGGACTCTCAGGTTTCTGGCACAGGTGCATGAAGTGCAGTAATACACAAAGAAAACATGGAAACAACAGGTTTTAGAGAGAAGACAGTGGAATGGGTTAGAAATGGCGTTTGAGTTGCCCGTGTGCCAAATAATTATCTGTCTACTTCCCTCTATCAATAAATCTATTCCCATTAATTTGCATAAAAACTTTGAGTTAAGCTGTGTTACTTCAGTTTTTCAGATTTCTGAGTTAGATGCATGATACAGTGGAACAAATAGGAAGTGGATGAGCAGCCTTGGTGTTCACATTGCCTAACTATTTAGACAGTGCTTACTTGCTATTATCCTGTGGCTTCTCAGTTTTGAACATGTTAAATTTGAGGTGCCTGTTGAGTTTCCAAATGAAAAAGAACAAAAAGAAGAAAACTATAGATTTGGGGCTCACAAAATTGTTCTAGTTAGAGGGAGTTGGACTATGCTTTTGGGAAGCAAATTTCAACTCCTGGATTGTGACACTTGATTAAAAAAATTTTTTTACTCTTATTCCTACCTTGTCTGGGGCAAACTTTAATGGGTTTTTTACTACTAAGAATTTTGTTTTCATCATTCATCTATTTTGCCTTGAATTACAGAGCTACTTTCATCCTAACTATATTCCAAGTCAATATATTCATGGATATATATCCATTTCAGAGATTTGAATTTTAAATATACAAGGTAATAGCTGTTTTAGAGGCTGCTTTTCTTTCTTTTTAAGAGAAGAGAAAAGGGTCTCTGTATTCTGAGTGGGAAGATAGTAGAGAGTGCTTCTTTCCCTTTTCCTAAAGCAATGTACTTGCCTAAAAAGATACACAGCTGTACACTTTTCCTAACTACTAACTGCCGCATCACTTTTGTCCAGATCAGTCAGGTTGCATTTAGTTTTTTTTTTTTGAGAGGGCATCTCTCATATTTATTGATCAAATGGTTGTTAACAACAATAAAATTCTGTATAGGGGACTCATGCACAATCATTAATCAACCCCAAGCCTAATTCTCAATAGTCTCCAATCTTCTTGCATTTAGTTTTTAAGGAGTGAAGTGTAGTTTGTCTCTCTTTGGAAAGTCAGTAACCCATTCCCTTGTCATCTTTTCTCTTCCTAACTGTAATAGGTTGCACTTAACTTTCATGAAAGGAAGTACAGGAATATCTGCAGGAAGCCAGCCACTGGACCTAATGAAGGATGCCTGTGTGGAAACATTTTGATGTGTCAGTGTCCTTATTCTACAGTGTGTGCCATTCTTTTGCAGTCTCAGAGAGAATAGTATGAAAGAAAATATTTTGTGAAATAAGAAGCCCCTTTTACACACTTAACAACCAACATGTATTAAGATGGACATCTATTCGACAGAATATGAAGTTCTATGGTCTCAAAGAAGCAAGCACCCATTGAAAACTGATCCTAAATAAAAACAGACTTGAATGGACATTCAGAATGTTTGTTGGTCTTAGAAGAGTAAAAAAATGGCAGTTTGTTCATTTATTTGCCACTTGTTTTATCCTAAGCCTCATGTTTTTTTGGAAACCAATTGATAATAACATTGTGAGCCATATGAAGTCCTACTCCTACAGATACCTCATCAACAGCTATAACTTTGTGAATGACAGCCTGTCTCTTAAGCGCAGCACAGAAGGGGCTACTCGCCACCAGTACTTGATTAACCACGAGGAGAAGTGTCAAGCACAAGATGTCCTCCTTTTACTGTTTGTAAAGACTGCTCCTGAAAACTATGCTCGACGATCTGCAATTAGAAAAACGTGGGGCAATGAGGAGTATGTTCGGTCTCAGCTTAATGCCAACATCAAAACTCTGTTTGCCTTAGGAACACCTTCTAGTTCACTGAGGAAAGAGGAACTGCAAAGAAAACTGGTTTGGGAAGATCAAATGTACAATGACATAATTCAGCAAGACTTTGCTGATTCTTTCTATAATCTTACTCTTAAATTACTTTTGCAGTTCAGTTGGGCAAACAGCTTTTGTCCACATGCCAAATTCCTTATGACTGCTGATGATGACATATTTATTCACATGCCAAATCTTATTGAATACCTTCAAAGTTTAGAACAAATTGGTGTTCAAGACTTTTGGATTGGTCGTGTTCATCGTGGTGCCCCTCCCATTAGAGACAAACACAGCAAATACTATGTGTCCTATGAAATGTACCAGTGGCCGGCTTACCCTGACTATACTGCTGGAGCTGCCTATGTGATCTCTAGTGATGTAGCTGCCAAAGTCTATGAGGCATCACAGACACTGAACACTAGTCTGTACATAGACGATGTGTTCATGGGCATCTGTGCCAATAAAATGGGAATAGTACCACAAGACCACATGTTTTTCTCTGGGGAAGGTAAAACTCCTTACCATCCCTGCATCTATGATAAAATGATGACATCTCATGGGCATGTAGAAGACCTGCAGGACCTTTGGAAGGATGCCACAGATCCTAAAGTAAAAACAGTTTCAGAAGGCTTTTTTGGTCAAATCTACTGTGGGATGGTTAAGATAGTTCTCCTTTGCAAACTGACCTATGTGGACACATATCCTTGTAGGGCTGCCTTTGCCTAATAATACTTGAATGTTGTATGTTTTCACTGTCACTGAGCCAAACCTGGATGGAAAAACCTTTAAGCATTTGTCTGTACCCTAAGTAGAAAGACTAGGAGACAACAAAGAAATATTTTGAAATCCCAGCCTACCAGAATGTTCCTTTGATTCTAGAATCTACTCAATGTAATTTACCTACTTCATTGCCTGAATTTATATTTAGAAAAGGTTTATGAAAACAAAACTAAAGGGACATGCTCTCACTTAATGCCACCTGTATATTTGAGGTGTAGAGAAGTTATTAAGGTACCTTGGTTAGAATAACTGCTTTGGAAAATACCAAGTAAGTATATAGTACAGTATTTCAAAGAAATGAATATATTGTTAGACCAGGTGTACAAGCTAATTTTTATTTAATAGCACTTGGTAGAGATCATGGGGCCAGGGAAGGATTGGCATGGAACAAAGTACATGAATCTGGTAAAAGCAAGTCTCCAGCTTCTTTAGAAACAGCCAAATCACTTGTGACATCCATGTAGCTCTTTTACCTAGATAGTTGGAATCACTTAAAAATATATTTATGTCTTTTTTTCGCAGTTTAATGTGAAATTTGAGAAGTCATTAGCTCTGCCCTAACTGGTACTTTATATGGGATTTTTTGATTATTAGAAATGACACAAGCCACAGGCAGTTTATGATCCATAGGGTCCTTCTCTAGGGAGAAATCATTAATTCAAGCAAGCTGATTTCAGTTTAGTGACTTTTTCAACTGATGTTTATATACTCAATATCAGTCTGTGTTTAAGGCAGTTACTTGAATGTAATTTGCATAGAAGAATATAATAATGGAGAAGACTTAAAAATAGAAGAGATCAAAATTCTCTCTTCTCCATAATTTACAAAATAAAATTCTTAGTGTCTAATATTAATGATTACTAAAATTAGCCCACCCCTCTCCAACAAGGTCTCATGAACCACAGTACTTTGTTCCACATTCAGATTTTAAAATTGAGAGTATTAAACATCAAATCAAAGCTATAATAGCTTAAAAAATATTTTCTTTTATCAATAACTCTCAGAGGGATCTTCAACTTCTAAATATTTTAAATTTGAAAGCAGAATGAAAATGATAGAGAAGTCACCAGAATGAGGTTTAAAGTATTTGTAAAGCTGTATGTTCCTTGTAATCAAAGTGATGTGGGATCTAATAGAGTAAATTTTATTTTTACACAGCAGGATGTGGCCATGATGCAAACAACCTCCCCTCACTACAGAAGAATTAGGTGATGTCTGCTTTTGGGGGATTGATTATCTGAGGGGCAAAATAGTGACTTAAGCAAAGGCCATTAAACTGATTATAGAATCTCTGAGGAGGTGCCTATTAGGGAAAACTAGGATGTCTTGTTTAATTAGGTGATACTTGAAACATGCAAAACAAAACAGCTAAAATAGAATTCTCAGTAAACTGGATGTTGATATACTTAATATTTTGCAGGTAGCTTTTTAATGTTTACAGAAACTGTTAATTTTTTTTCTATTTCGAAAATTGAGGCTTGTTTACATTGATTGCTCAGATAATTTAGAATTTTTAACTAATGTCAAAGCTGCAGTGTCAACCATTCTAGCTTGTAGTGACTTTTAGAGTAGGTTCAGGTTTTCTAGATTATTACTATCTAAATTTTCTGACCAATCTTAAAAACTAGAAAATGAAGGAAGGCACTGACCTGGGTGCTGAGGGTATCTACAACATCAAGGAGTTGCCTTGCCATCAGGGAGTTCACAGTGTAATTGGGAGAGGCAGTTAAATAAGTCAGTACAGGAAGAGGGGTATAAGAAGGTGCTATGGTAATGCTGATAAACATCTTGGGTATGGGCTGGCCCCAAATCAAGCCTCCCAGAAAAGGATGCCTTGGAGAAGTTAGTGAGGATTAGACTTCTTAGCAAGAGGAGTAGGGCTTGCCAGGCTCCAGGACTGCCAGTGCAAAGGCTGGCAGGTATGAAACAGCAAGTGTGGCTGAGCTTTCAGCCAGTAATTTGGGATTATCAACAAGTGGAGAGCTTCTGAGGGTGTTACAGAGCTGAATTAGTCTCATGATTAGATCTGAACTTTAGAAAGTCACTCTGGGTAGAGAATGGGTTGGCCAAGGATCATTTAGTCTGCTACACCGGTCTGGGTGGGAAGTGACGATGACATGAAGGGGTGAAGAGAGATTTAAAAGAAGCAATTCATAGGATTAAATGACTGGATGTGGAATGGAGGAAAAGGACTCTCAGGTTTCTGGCACAGGTGCATGAAGTGCAGTAATACACAAAGAAAACATGGAAACAACAGGTTTTAGAGAGAAGACAGTGGAATGGGTTAGAAATGGCGTTTGAGTTGCCCGTGTGCCAAATAATTATCTGTCTACTTCCCTCTATCAATAAATCTATTCCCATTAATTTGCATAAAAACTTTGAGTTAAGCTGTGTTACTTCAGTTTTTCAGATTTCTGAGTTAGATGCATGATACAGTGGAACAAATAGGAAGTGGATGAGCAGCCTTGGTGTTCACATTGCCTAACTATTTAGACAGTGCTTACTTGCTATTATCCTGTGGCTTCTCAGTTTTGAACATGTTAAATTTGAGGTGCCTGTTGAGTTTCCAAATGAAAAAGAACAAAAAGAAGAAAACTATAGATTTGGGGCTCACAAAATTGTTCTAGTTAGAGGGAGTTGGACTATGCTTTTGGGAAGCAAATTTCAACTCCTGGATTGTGACACTTGATTAAAAAAATTTTTTTACTCTTATTCCTACCTTGTCTGGGGCAAACTTTAATGGGTTTTTTACTACTAAGAATTTTGTTTTCATCATTCATCTATTTTGCCTTGAATTACAGAGCTACTTTCATCCTAACTATATTCCAAGTCAATATATTCATGGATATATATCCATTTCAGAGATTTGAATTTTAAATATACAAGGTAATAGCTGTTTTAGAGGCTGCTTTTCTTTCTTTTTAAGAGAAGAGAAAAGGGTCTCTGTATTCTGAGTGGGAAGATAGTAGAGAGTGCTTCTTTCCCTTTTCCTAAAGCAATGTACTTGCCTAAAAAGATACACAGCTGTACACTTTTCCTAACTACTAACTGCCGCATCACTTTTGTCCAGATCAGTCAGGTTGCATTTAGTTTTTTTTTTTTGAGAGGGCATCTCTCATATTTATTGATCAAATGGTTGTTAACAACAATAAAATTCTGTATAGGGGACTCATGCACAATCATTAATCAACCCCAAGCCTAATTCTCAATAGTCTCCAATCTTCTTGCATTTAGTTTTTAAGGAGTGAAGTGTAGTTTGTCTCTCTTTGGAAAGTCAGTAACCCATTCCCTTGTCATCTTTTCTCTTCCTAACTGTAATAGGTTGCACTTAACTTTCATGAAAGGAAGTACAGGAATATCTGCAGGAAGCCAGCCACTGGACCTAATGAAGGATGCCTGTGTGGAAACATTTTGATGTGTCAGTGTCCTTATTCTACAGTGTGTGCCATTCTTTTGCAGTCTCAGAGAGAATAGTATGAAAGAAAATATTTTGTGAAATAAGAAGCCCCTTTTACACACTTAACAACCAACATGTATTAAGATGGACATCTATTCGACAGAATATGAAGTTCTATGGTCTCAAAGAAGCAAGCACCCATTGAAAACTGATCCTAAATAAAAACAGACTTGAATGGACATTCAGAATGTTTGTTGGTCTTAGAAGAGTAAAAAAATGGCAGTTTGTTCATTTATTTGCCACTTGTTTTATCCTAAGCCTCATGTTTTTTTGGAAACCAATTGATAATAACATTGTGAGCCATATGAAGTCCTACTCCTACAGATACCTCATCAACAGCTATAACTTTGTGAATGACAGCCTGTCTCTTAAGCGCAGCACAGAAGGGGCTACTCGCCACCAGTACTTGATTAACCACGAGGAGAAGTGTCAAGCACAAGATGTCCTCCTTTTACTGTTTGTAAAGACTGCTCCTGAAAACTATGCTCGACGATCTGCAATTAGAAAAACGTGGGGCAATGAGGAGTATGTTCGGTCTCAGCTTAATGCCAACATCAAAACTCTGTTTGCCTTAGGAACACCTTCTAGTTCACTGAGGAAAGAGGAACTGCAAAGAAAACTGGTTTGGGAAGATCAAATGTACAATGACATAATTCAGCAAGACTTTGCTGATTCTTTCTATAATCTTACTCTTAAATTACTTTTGCAGTTCAGTTGGGCAAACAGCTTTTGTCCACATGCCAAATTCCTTATGACTGCTGATGATGACATATTTATTCACATGCCAAATCTTATTGAATACCTTCAAAGTTTAGAACAAATTGGTGTTCAAGACTTTTGGATTGGTCGTGTTCATCGTGGTGCCCCTCCCATTAGAGACAAACACAGCAAATACTATGTGTCCTATGAAATGTACCAGTGGCCGGCTTACCCTGACTATACTGCTGGAGCTGCCTATGTGATCTCTAGTGATGTAGCTGCCAAAGTCTATGAGGCATCACAGACACTGAACACTAGTCTGTACATAGACGATGTGTTCATGGGCATCTGTGCCAATAAAATGGGAATAGTACCACAAGACCACATGTTTTTCTCTGGGGAAGGTAAAACTCCTTACCATCCCTGCATCTATGATAAAATGATGACATCTCATGGGCATGTAGAAGACCTGCAGGACCTTTGGAAGGATGCCACAGATCCTAAAGTAAAAACAGTTTCAGAAGGCTTTTTTGGTCAAATCTACTGTGGGATGGTTAAGATAGTTCTCCTTTGCAAACTGACCTATGTGGACACATATCCTTGTAGGGCTGCCTTTGCCTAATAATACTTGAATGTTGTATGTTTTCACTGTCACTGAGCCAAACCTGGATGGAAAAACCTTTAAGCATTTGTCTGTACCCTAAGTAGAAAGACTAGGAGACAACAAAGAAATATTTTGAAATCCCAGCCTACCAGAATGTTCCTTTGATTCTAGAATCTACTCAATGTAATTTACCTACTTCATTGCCTGAATTTATATTTAGAAAAGGTTTATGAAAACAAAACTAAAGGGACATGCTCTCACTTAATGCCACCTGTATATTTGAGGTGTAGAGAAGTTATTAAGGTACCTTGGTTAGAATAACTGCTTTGGAAAATACCAAGTAAGTATATAGTACAGTATTTCAAAGAAATGAATATATTGTTAGACCAGGTGTACAAGCTAATTTTTATTTAATAGCACTTGGTAGAGATCATGGGGCCAGGGAAGGATTGGCATGGAACAAAGTACATGAATCTGGTAAAAGCAAGTCTCCAGCTTCTTTAGAAACAGCCAAATCACTTGTGACATCCATGTAGCTCTTTTACCTAGATAGTTGGAATCACTTAAAAATATATTTATGTCTTTTTTTCGCAGTTTAATGTGAAATTTGAGAAGTCATTAGCTCTGCCCTAACTGGTAATTTATATGGGATTTTTTGATTATTAGAAATGACACAAGCCACAGGCAGTTTATGATCCATAGGGTCCTTCTCTAGGGAGAAATCATTAATTCAAGCAAGCTGATTTCAGTTTAGTGACTTTTTCAACTGATGTTTATATACTCAATATCAGTCTGTGTTTAAGGCAGTTACTTGAATGTAATTTGCATAGAAGAATATAATAATGGAGAAGACTTAAAAATAGAAGAGATCAAAATTCTCTCTTCTCCATAATTTACAAAATAAAATTCTTAGTGTCTAATATTAATGATTACTAAAATTAGCCCACCCCTCTCCAACAAGGTCTCATGAACCACAGTACTTTGTTCCACATTCAGATTTTAAAATTGAGAGTATTAAACATCAAATCAAAGCTATAATAGCTTAAAAAATATTTTCTTTTATCAATAACTCTCAGAGGGATCTTCAACTTCTAAATATTTTAAATTTGAAAGCAGAATGAAAATGATAGAGAAGTCACCAGAATGAGGTTTAAAGTATTTGTAAAGCTGTATGTTCCTTGTAATCAAAGTGATGTGGGATCTAATAGAGTAAATTTTATTTTTACACAGCAGGATGTGGCCATGATGCAAACAACCTCCCCTCACTACAGAAGAATTAGGTGATGTCTGCTTTTGGGGGATTGATTATCTGAGGGGCAAAATAGTGACTTAAGCAAAGGCCATTAAACTGATTATAGAATCTCTGAGGAGGTGCCTATTAGGGAAAACTAGGATGTCTTGTTTAATTAGGTGATACTTGAAACATGCAAAACAAAACAGCTAAAATAGAATTCTCAGTAAACTGGATGTTGATATACTTAATATTTTGCAGGTAGCTTTTTAATGTTTACAGAAACTGTTAATTTTTTTTCTATTTCGAAAATTGAGGCTTGTTTACATTGATTGCTCAGATAATTTAGAATTTTTAACTAATGTCAAAGCTGCAGTGTCAACCATTCTAGCTTGTAGTGACTTTTAGAGTAGGTTCAGGTTTTCTAGATTATTACTATCTAAATTTTCTGACCAATCTTAAAAACTAGAAAATGAAGGCATATTTTGACAAAGAGCAGATTTCTAATTAATTTTTATCAGTTGAGTCTTTAATAATCGTTTGCCTTTTAGCTATACATACTCTGTGTATCTATACTTGTAACTGTTTAAATTTGCCATTGGTTGAAAACATCAGTGTCTCTCTGGCCATGGAAATGATCTTGTTTACAATAATACTTTTGTGACATTATTTATTTGTGAAAGAACTCTCCTCAACTGTGTTCATCTTTTTATTTTTGCTTAGAGTAGAATGGAACAGATTTAAATTTAAAGGAAATATGAAAGCACTTCCCTTTTTAATAAGGAAATTGCTAGATGCCTCCTTCATCAGACTTAAAGTACTGAGAAGAATATTTGTAAATAAAAGTATTCCAACCTTTTAAAAAGGAAGGAAAAACTTTGTGGTGCTCTAGTGCAAGGCTGTCTTGAAAATAGTCAACAAAGGGAAAATAAAATCAGCCTGGATGGTCACTTGAGTAGAAGATGGTTGTACAGTGTTATTGCGAAAAACGTTTTACCTCTTGGTTGATTTCCATCTTTTTTCCATATTATTAATTTTATACCAAAATGTTAAATATTTATATTATTTGAATTTTGCTCTTATATGGCAAAACAATTAGTGGGTTTTTAAAAATAAATCTATGATTTCCAATAAACAACTTGAAATTGTCAGCATATTTTACAAAGGTTTTTAAAACTCCGTGGTTTACATTTGTTTATATAATCAACCTGTACTCTTTAATGTCAGAGAGGCCTGTAGTACACAGCCTTAATCCTACTGCTGTTCAGACTTGTTGCTGAGCCCAGGATTGAGGATTATTGTCCTTTGCATTATGGAGCCACTTACAACACCTCTTTTGTTTGCTAAATGATTTACGCTGGTATGAAGTAGGGGAATTCTCTCTTAGACTCTTCAGGAAGGGATGAAACAAAAGCCTATAGGCATAGTGTCATATTTTCCTTTTATTTGATAATTAGCTGCCTAAAAGTAGATTCAAACTTAGTCCTAGTCTCTTAATGTCAGGGATGTTCTTAGGCGTGCTTTGGAGTGCTCAGTTGTATTTGTACATAGTGTGTTCTCGCCTGCCTTTCACCTGATTCCTGCTTAATTCTTAGCCTGGTTTATGGTGCGATTCAATCCAAATGTTTTTAAAATTTGGAAGCGTCTGAATTATTTGGTTGTAGTAGAACCAACCAAATGATACTTTTTTACTTGTGAGGCATGGTTGGGATATTTGTAGTTGGGACTAAAGTGATGATTACTTGGAAGAATTTACTTGACCTATATTTGGGACTTGAATTCAACACCATAGCTGCAGTGAGAGTGACACCAGAGAATTCTTGATATGCGAGGCTATTCATTCTATTAATAATGAGAAATGTAAGGTGTCTTCCTGACTGTAATTCCCTGCAACTCTCATTCTCCAATGAGACAAGCCTCAGGTACAGCTTTCATTATGATATTGCTTCACTCCAGACCATAAAGGCTTTTTACTGCCTCCAGCATCAAATCTGATCTCTTCTACCTGGTTCAAGGCCTTATGTAATTTTCCTTTATTTCTTCATTCTCTGTAGCCTTATATTTCCCACTGCTACTATATCATCCATCACTCTTGACCATACCTGGCAACTTGTAAATTCGTTACCCTTTCCAGATACAATGTTTCTTCTGTACCTACCTGCAATCCAACCCTAACTGTGCTCTTCAGTTAAATATCTTCTCCTGCCCTCCCCCAAAACATATACTTAATCATATATATTTTTGTGCTACTTACTGTTAACATGTGTTTCTAAGTACAAGTTCTGAAGGTAGGAACTGTGCATGGTGCTACCACATTAGTTTATTATATTTGAAAAAAAATGATTTAATAATGTTATTCTTGGAAACCATCCAAATATGAATAAAGAGTAATTATTCAGAGCCCTTAATGGACACTATCTGGTATAACATTTTACCTATACTACTTAAAAGTTTATAATTTATTCAACAAAATCGGAATGCTTACTATATGCCATGCATATTGTACCTATCAGCTCTAGCCCCAACAGATTTGTATTAGTCATTCATAAAAACTCAAATACAGAAATTCAAACATGAGTAAGGAAATACAGATTAAACTGTTGCAGCAAAGGCTAGTGATCTTCAGGTATTTATTCAAAGCTGGCAGTAGAACAAAAACTAGTCTTACAACTTCTATTTTGTACTTACTCCATTAGCCAATTTTGCCATCTCTCAAAGTTCTTTTGCAAGAATCACAAAGATATTTGTTTTTATTAAATGCTGTAACTTTTTTTCTTTGTATTTTTCATAAGTATGATTTAATGGTGTACTGTAAATTAATATAATTCATCAACTAATTTGAAGGACCCATTTAGCTAAGATTTTTATTATAAAGGGAAAATCACAATTACAAAAATAGGTATGGGTCATAGTAACAGAAAAGTCCCTGAAGATACACTGTCACTTAAGGAAAACAACAGAACACATCGCCAAACAGTGCTTTTCAGAGACAACCCGATTAAACACACTTTCAGACATGCTGAGTTGGGCCATTCACTATAACTCAAAGATATATTTCAGTCAGTAAGAGCCCACATGTTTCCTTGAGCAAATATTAAAGTATAATAATATAAAGTAGTCTAATTAAGCCAATATGGCTTCAAGAACCAATGGGCAAGTTCTTAAAAGATTTTTGTTCATCCATCCTATAGGCCCTCTTTGTGGAGGCTTAACTAAAAGCTAAACATTATGAAAGTTCCCAGGGATAAAAGCTGCCCTTAGGTCAGTAAGTCAAATGGTGTGGATATAAACAATGTGACCTGTGCCTTAATGATGGGGATTCTGAGTATAAAGATGTTAGTTTTTAATGAATTTCCCACATGTGTTTGGTTTTTGCTGCCCTAATTTAGGCTTTCTGAACTGCAGAGAATTCCCCTGTATACAAACACCTTCCTGTAGGCCAAAAATAGCATTAAATTTGTATAAACTGTGTTTTGGGGGGAACCTATTGCCTGTGAATGTACCACATTGCCTTTAAATGCTTTTAAACCAATAATTCAATATTAACATTAGTTTACATTTTCTATTTTCTTCATAATACATTTTTTTAAACATTGAGTCTCCTTGGGAACTTGGTTACAAGACGTTTTCAGCTCTTGCTTTTTACATTTATAAGGTTCATGAGTTTTGTTCTCAGTTATATAGATGAAGGTTAGTATATAGAATAAATAGGTGAGTTTAGCTGGGAAAGGTTAAGTGATGAGATTTAAAAGAGAGGATCCCCTTCCCTCCTCTCCCACCCCCCAGAGGTTAAAATGACTTCTACAGAGGGATCTGTGATCTTACCTGCGGGAGGAAAGATTTTCAGGACTGTCAAGCTGCTTCAGCTCAGGGGTCTCCCCATTGTGGTGGCTTTCAAGTATTTCTTCATTCTGAAAATTAAAGAAATTTTGGGTCTTCTTCTTTTGGGGGAGGTGGACTCTTACTCTATATTTTTCTTTCCCCTAATTTCTTTGTGTTTGTTTTAAATTTTTTAGATGAGCATCATCCAGTTTCTCATCTTTTTCTTTCTTGGGTTTCCCCCAACCACTCTGTGGATCTGTTACAGTTTGCCCTTCAAGCATCCTTCAGGAACATCACAAACTCATTCCCAAAAGCAGGTGTTCTTTTTCCTTAATAATGAAGGGATATTAACATTGTACTTCTTCCCCTTTCCTGTTGATTAACAAAAAAAGAGTATGAGGTAACAAGGGGCAGTAAAGAGGTCATTTGACACAACAGCTCCTTGTGTGTGTGTGTGTGTGTGTGTGTGTGTGTGTAAGGAATCAAGGTCAGGAGAAGTTGCAACCTGTGAAGGCCAGAAAAAGAGCTGGAGGCAGAGATAAGCCCCATGTCCACTTTCACAGGCTGGTAATCACAAGTCTATTCTATCACACTGCTTCCAGAAAGAGCTGATTCTGTAGGCCGGGTGAGAGGTGCAGGCTGAAAACCAGCTTGTGGTTGGAAGCCCTGCTCTACCACTTGCCAGCTCTGAGACCTTGGGCAAGCTCACTGAACCTCCCTGCCTCCACTTAGAACATAGACCCCATGGCACTATCCACCACATAGGGCTGGGTTTTTTTTTTCAGAGTATGGTACTATTAGGCATTTAACTCTCAAAAAGAGGCAAGACTCCTACTCACTTTGCTTTAAAACAAAACTCATTTTAACAAAGAAGCACATCATATAACATATTGATAGCATTGTGAGTATCTTAAAGGTATTAATTAATAATATATGGATGATTAATTAGCTAGCATTTGAGTTCTTGTTTGCCAGATTCTGTATAAATGAGTTAACTTGACATTCTCACAAAAGGGAGTAAAGACTTAGAAAGGACTTCTTGCAAAAGTATTGTGCAGGGAAATTTAATGAATGATCATGAAAATTCCTTGTAAATTAGAGCTGGAAGTTGAAGGATGAGCTTTCCTCAGACTAAGGAAAAGATGAGAAGTCTCCTTGGAAAATATGTGAGACTGACAAGCTACTCAGCTAGTTATTGACATTGCAAGAACAGAGTCCTCTCTGTGGATTAATAGAAAGCAGTCAAGGTAAGGTTTTGTTTTTTTAAATTATTATTATCCACAATGCCAGCCACAGAGAGAGCAATTCAAAACTGTTCAGTGATTGAAGAAAATCAAATATATTTTATCTTTTTTTTAGATGTCTTCCCAAATCTGGTATCATATCCAGAAAGCAAACTAACAAATCAAGGAGTATTTGGGATACAAGTTTTGCTAATTCAGCTCTAAAATACAAGGGTAATCTTACATTACAAGTTCATATTTTTTCTTTTAAAATAGGTAAGAATCTGCCTTTTTTAGTTCCTTCTATTACATATGTTTGACCAGAGACTAGAATATATTTTTCATTTCAGTAAATATGCATAAGTAAATACCAGCTTCTGGATTAACAGCCATTTAGTTATTTTCACCACACTGCCATACCTCTTTCTTCACCTTTTCTATATAATGTTGAACTAATTACTACAGCAGTAAATGTTGCACTGCATGCACTGGGTAAACTTCAATATTTCTAGAATCTCTCACCTGGCCTTAGTCCATCTCCATATCAATAGGTAATTACAAGGAGGAGCAAGGGCATATCTGGACTGGAGAGGTTGGGTGGGGTCCCTTTTTGCAGCTGGGTCACGAGAGACACAGGCGAGCAGAAGTGGACAACTGCTTTTAAGCAATAATGGGTTTCTCCAACTTTATTTCTCCCTCTGACTGATTTTGTTTTCAAAGGTATTTTTCCCCAGACTGGGAAAATATTTTCACCCCAGAGTTACAGCTGGTGGTAGTTGGCAGGACCTCTGAACCCAAAATCTATCCTCATGGGTGCAACCCTTCGGTGGGCTGCCCCTAGAGATGGTGGGGAGATGCCCAGAAGCTCCCCTGTGGATGGTGGGGAGGTCCCAGTAGCTGCAGCAATGGAGGGTGCGGCTTTATTCGGGAGCCCCCTATCTGTGGGGCTTCCTCTTGAGGAGCCCCTAGTGGGGAACTGTTCTAGGGTAAAGCACCTCCAAAATTGAGAAAGAGTGGAGACACTGGTAGCTGTGGAATTAGCTCTCTGTGAGATAGAATACTGCTTAGAGGCCTTGAGTGGCCATGTAGCAGCTGGGATTGTGGGATGTTTGTTTCTCAAGATAGTGGAAAGGGTGATGAAGAAAAAAGACACACTTCAGCGTTGCTTGGAGGAGCTGGGCGATGATCTACGGGATGCCCTTAAGAAAGAGAGACAGTTATTGAGAAGACAGGTAACACTCCTGGAAGATATGTTAGCAGCAGTGAGGGAGGAGACATCAGGAGAATTAGCATTGCAGGAGGCTGTTGGGAGGGGGAGAAAGGAGCAGGGCCTTCAGCCCTGGAGATGGTAGAGGAGATGTCAGAAGAGGATGAGGGAGTGGGGCCAAGGGCCTATCTATTGCCGAAACTATGGCCTAAGACACCAGCCTCTCCTGTATTAAAGTCCTGCCCCATTGTAATTAAGAAAATAAAAATACAACAACCAGGGGCTCTTCAGAGGGAGGAGCTGCCCCCTCCCTAGGTTGGGCAACATTCCATGCTCTGTCCCTATACCCAGGATAAGCTGGTGGACATGAGCATCTGGTGTCGGCAGCAGCTGTCGGAACATCTGCCCACGTGGCTTTTGTGTCTCTGGGATATGGAGCTGGAAAACATTGTTATGTTGGGTTCTGAAATGAGCAGACTGGCTTCCCTGATGACTCACCCTTCCCTCTGGCAGTGGTTGCAAAGTGCTCGTTACCCCTGAGGGAACTGGGTGCTTCTGGATTGGCTGACAGCAGCCATCAGGGCAGTGTGGCCTAATCAGGGTGATTATACCATACTTACTCACCAGCTGGAAAACATAAGCAGAGCTCCAGCAGGTGTTACGGGAGTTAGGTATGAAAAATATAATCTATAATATGGACCCCCAGGGCCCTGTGAGGAGCTGTTCACCACAGGAATGAGAAATCTGGTGCTCCATAAGCTCCCCCATCTCACCTTGGGTCTCTAGTGACTATTCTTGCTCCCCACCTACGGCAACCCACAAGTGAGGCTACTCGTACTTTAGCAGATCCGGGGGAGGTTGAAACAATAAGGGCACGGAAGGAAGTATGGGCTACGACTGAAAGGAGAGGTGCAAAGGGCCCCGCGAAGGTCTTGAGGACACAGATGTGGGTTGATAATGATAAAGGCAGAGGTAGTGAAATAAAAACTTGATTGGCAGCTCAATAGGATCTTCTAAGAACAGTGGTACCAATTAAAGCCAGAATAGCAGTTCCAGCCGCTGAGGTCCAGGACACAGAAACCAGAGGCAAAGCCTCATGTCTGGCCTGTGTCCCTGCAAGACTTCCTGGTACTCAGGGTCTGCTTGGGCCCTCACCCCCACAGATTTGACTGAGGGGCAGATCAAGGTCCCCACCTTGGGGGAAATGTTGGGGACTGAAGGCCACACGTAGAATTAGCAATTCATTGGTCCCCTGTGAATGTACAATGTGTCCTGGCTCTGGTGGATACAGGAGCTGAATGTTCTCTGATTTATGACAACCCTGAGCATTTTCCCAGGACCCCTGCTGTGATAGATGGCTATGGGGGTAAGGCAATTAGAGTCAAGAAAGCCCAAATCCCATTGGAGATAGGGCATTTACCCCCAAAAGGAGTATACTGTGTATATTTCTCCATCCCTGAATATATTTTGGGGGTAGATATCCTGCAGGGCTGGTGGTTATAGACTGAGGGGATGTGTGGTAAAGGCAGTTCTGAGGGGACATGCTTAGCACCCACCAATAGCTCTGAATGTACCTCAGTGAGTGACAAACACTAAAGACTATAAATTGCTTGGGGGACACAAAGAAATTGGAGAAACTCTACAGGAGTTAGAGAAGGTGGGCATTATAAAGCCCACTCATAAAACTTAATTCCCCGGTGTGGCCAGTGAAAAGCTGGACAGTTCTTGGTATATGACCGTGGACTTCAGGGAATTGAATAAAGTCACACCCCCTTTGCGTGCTACTGTCCCCTCTATAGCAGCCCTTATGGACACCCTCAGTCATGAACTAGGGAGTATAATTATGTTGTGGACCTTGCTAATGCTTTCTTCTCTATTGCCATAGCACAGGAGAGTCAGGAACAGTTCACCTTCACATGGGAAGGTCGGCAGTGAACATTCACTGTCCTTCCAGAGGGACGCCTCCACAGTCCCACCATCTGTCATGGACTTGTAGCCCAGGACTCGGCCAAAACATGGAGGAAACCACAAACAGTATGGCTGTATCACTACACTGATGATACCAAGCTCATGTCTGATTCTCTTGCAGATTTAGAAGAGGCAGTTCCTAGACTGCTTCAACATCTACAGGAAAAAGGATGGGCCATGAACAGCACTAAGGTTCAGGGACCGGTTTGTCTGTGAAATTCTTGGGGGTTGTCTGGTCAGGTAAAACTAAAGTTAATCCTGAAGCAGTCATAGACAAGGTCCAGGCTTTCCCTACCCTTACCACTGTAGCAGTCTTACAAGAATTTTTGGGTCCTTTGGGCTACTGGAAAGTGTATCCCACACTTGGTGGGCTACTGGAAAGTGTTTATCCCACACTTGGCATACATTCTGAAGCCCTTAAACTGGTTAGTATGAAGGGGCATCAGGTAGGACTGGGATGAAACATGTGCATCTGCTTTTACTGATGCTAAGTGAGCAGTCAAGGCAGTACAGGAATGGAAGATGTAATGAAAGTTCATGTAATGGAAGATGGTTATGGATGGGGTCTTTGGCAGTAGTTTGAATGGAACATGCCAACCTATTGGATTCTGGTCACAACTACTATGGAAAGAGCAGAGGTCCAATACACCTTGATAGAGAAGCAACTGGCCGCTGTGTACCATGCCTTGCTGGCTACGGAGCCCATCACCAAAACAGCTCCAAAAAAGGTAATACGCACCTATCCCATTGTGGGGTGGGTGCAAGACTGGACCTAAAGGCCACAGAGTGGTGGGGAACAGATGCCTACAACTGGCCAAATTGGGGGTATATTTACAGCAGTGTAGTGTCCTCTCTACTAGCCCCTTAAGTGGAAAACTCCAAAGCTTATTGGGACCAGTGACATATACCAGTGGAAAATAGAAAGAACTTGCTTTTGAGCCATTTGTAGCTGAGAGTTCTCTTCAGGAGGGAAAAGCCCCTATACCTGAAGATGCTTGGTATACAGATGGCTCCAGTCATGGGCAGCCCCTGAGGTGGAGGGCTATGGCTTTCCATCCTAAGACTGAGACAATATGGATGGAAGATGGAGGGAGAAGAGCAGCCAATGGGTTGAGTTGTGGGCAGTATGGCTTGTGATCACCCAGGAGCCCTCCCCTATCGTCTGCATTGACAGCTGGGCCATCTATTGGGGCTTGACCCTCTGGCTACTGACATGGTACCATGCCAACTGGATGATTGGTCACTGGCCCCTCTGGGGGCAGGAGTTGTGGCAAGACCTATGGGCCTCTGGTCAGACTAAGACAGTTACTGTATGTCATGTGACTGGCCATTTGCCTTTGGCATCCCCACGGAATGATGAAGCAGACACATTGGCCCAGGTGTGCTGGCTAGAAGGAAAGCCTGCCTTTGATGTAGCCCAATGGTTACATCAGCGTTTGTTGTACATTGGGCAAAAGATAATGTGGGCTGTAGCTCGTTGGTGGGGCTTGCTGACCTTTGAAGAATTCAGCAGAGCCTGGAAGGAGTGCCTTTTGTGCTCTAAAAGAGACTTACACCAAATCCTGCAGCAACATGAGATAATAGTAAAGGTGCTGAAAGCCCTTGTCAGGTGGCAGCTAGACTACATTGGGCCTCTGCCCATATCAAAAGGATATCAGTATGCCATGATTTGTGTGGACATGGCTACTGGACTATTGGTTGCTTTTCCTGCACATCATGCAGATCAGCAAACCACCAAGAGGGACCTAGAGCATGTCTTTGCAGCCTATGGCTGGCCACAGGTGACTGGGAGTGATCAAGACACCTACTTTATTGGACATACAAAAATGGATGTAGCAATTAGGAATAAAGTGGAAGTTTTATTTACCATATAACCCTACTGGGCCAGGCATGATAGAGAGGTACAAGGGTTTGTTGAAATCTGGCCTAAAGTCAGACACAAATAGTCTACGGGGCTGGTCAGTTTGCTTATGGACAGTGCTACAGCATTTGAATGAGAAGCCCTGAGAAGGAGCCTTGAGCCCTGTGGAGATGCTAACATGCATTGCTGCCTCTCCTATACAACTACCTGCAAACCAAAGAGGAGTTATTGAAGCCAGGATATGACCATCAGAGCAACATCCTGCTGCCAGCTCCTACTGCACTAAACCCTGGAGACACTGTTGAGTGGACGTGGCCCTGGACATTTCAACACATGGACCAGCGATGGCTGGCCCTTCTGGCACCTTGGAGAAAAGGCCTGGAAGCTGGCCTCATGTGTATACCTGGAGTAACAGCAGAGTGAGCCCTAAAGATCATGGTAGAGTACCCAAAACGTCCAGGAGGTAAGAGCATCTTACGGGGAAGTTTTGTTTTATCTTTATGGCCAGTGCATGTACCTCCCATAGCCCTGTATATTGGCCCA